CAGGGTCTCATTAAATTGCTGAGACTGGCCTTAAACTTGTGATCCTCCTGCTTCTACCTCTCAAATTGCTGGGGTTGCTGGCATTTGTGGCCCTGCCCAGCCTGGAACATGATCTCAAAAACGCAATAATCCACAATGTTTGTTCAATGAAATAAAGCCACTCTGTGAATCTAAGGGTTCCAAAATTTCTCCACATCCTCACCAACACTTGTTATTTTCTGTTTCATTTTTATTATATCACCCTAATGGGTGTTAGTGATCTAATTTTGGTTTCCCTAATGACTAAGGATGTTGAGCATCTTTTCATGGCTGTGTTGGTCATTTGTGTATCTTCTTTGGAGAAATATTTATTCATGTCTTGCCAATCTTATGATGATGTTAGTTGCTAGAGTTTTTTTGTTTATTATGCAGACAAAAGAAAGAACAAACAGAAACTCACTCTCAGTCCTTGTGAATCTATGCTGCAGTACTCTAGTGATTAGTAAGGGCATTTAGCCTCTATCTTAGCCTTCACTTCTTGTTCACAGTTGGTCTAGAGATCAGCCAGAGATGAGTTCTTAGGATCCTTTGGGTTCATCTGTTCTTTCTTTCTTTTTTATTTTATCTTTCCTTTTCTTTCTTTTTCTTTCTTTCTTTCTTTCTTTCCTTTTGTGTGTGTGTGTGTCTGTGTGTGTTTGTGTGTGCATATATGTATTCGAGATACTGAGGATTGAATCCAGGGGCACTAACTATATATCCCCAAACCTTTTTATTTTTTATTCTGAGTCGGTGTTTTGCTATGTTGCCCAGGCTGGCCGGGAACTTGAAATCTTCCTCCCTCAGCCTCCTGAGTTTCTGGGTATAGCCTCTTAGGTTTTTCCCGACCACGTGTCTCTTATGCACATTCATTGTTTTCGTGTGTGTGTGTGTGTGTGTGTGTGTGTGTGTGTGTGTGTGTGTGTGTTGGGGATTAAACTCAGGACTGGCACATGCTAGGCAAGCACTCTACCACTGAGCAACTCCAACCAGGAATGCACTCTGAGTTCAACAGACACCTGAGTCAGACACTTTACTTGAAGAATGGGGATTCTCCCCAGTAGGCCTCGTACTGGGAACATAGATTGCTCCCTTCAAGATCTCTGCTGTGCTGGGGAAGGAGATGGGGTGAAGCTTTCCTGTCATGTTCAAGTTGTCTTTTTCTTGACTGAATGTTCACTTAGCTTACCTAAACTTTTGTTTTTCAGAGTTCGGACAAAGTTGGTTCCAAGCATTTTTGTTGTCTTACTGTTTCTATGATGGGGTAGGCCCTTGGAGATACTCTTCTTTTCCTGCTGACCTCTAGGATCTACATGGGTAATTCATGCCCCTTGACTAAACACAAACAAAGACTCTCCCCCTCCCCAATTAGTCAACCAACACTAGCTGAGCATCTCACACTGAATTAAACCAGCACTGTCCATGTCCTCACGATGCCGATGTCTTAGTTTGGAGACAAAAAACAGACAAGCAAGTTTAGCACTAACATGATTTCAGGTAGCCATGGGCACCAAGAAGTAAAAGCTGGGTGGTAGATGGTGATGGGGTTGGTAATTTAGGCTGGATGGCATCAAGTAGGGCTTACCTGAGGAAGTGGGATTTAAGATGAGATTTGACATGGAAGGGAGAGAACAGGACCCTGAGGTCAGAAGGCACTTGGGAAGTTCAGGGGCATAGGAACACCAGAAGGCCCAGGGTGACACAAGTCATCAGTTAAGAGATGGAAACAGCCCATCAGAGCTACATCAAGGGTCCTTCTTCACTTTGTAGGGTTGGCCTAGAGTCATAGCCTGCTGTGTTTCTTAGAACCTCGAGGAATTTGCAGACTGGCTTCCAAAAGTCAGTGATCCCCAGAGATAAAACCCAAGAATTCTGTGAGTGTGTGGCAGCCACTGTTCTCCCTTCACCCCGCCCCCTGCATTTCTCTGTGCCCCAGGATGCTGACAGCCACACATAAGGACAGCTTTACCCCTTTATACCTGCAGTTGAGCTTGGCCTTGGTGGATTATCTGAGTGCTAGCAGAGAAGGAAGCCTAGGTCTGCATTCCTTGGCTCCTGCCTAGTTGGTCTGCATCTCTTTACCAAAACCTGCAACTATAGCGCTCTGAAACTAATTTCCATAATTCCTGTTCCATAGGTGGTAACAGCCCCCTGGCCTGAGGTTCCCTCACCATCCCTGTTTTCCCTTCACCCTGCCCATGACTCCTCAGTAGTTTTGTTTTTTTTTTGTACCAGGGATTGAATCCAGGGGCACTCGACCTCTGAGCCACACCCCCACCCTATTTTGTATTTTATTTAGAGACAGGGTCTCACTGAGTTGCTTAGCGCCTCACTTTTGCTGAGGCTGGCTTTGAACTCACCATCCTTCTGCCTCAGCCTCCTAAGCCACTGGGATTACAGGTGTGCACCACCAAGCCCCACTCCTCGGTGGTTTTTGAGGGCATCATCCATCAAGAGTCAAATGAATTAAAAATGCCAGGTTGCTGATTCCAGCCCCATAGGAACTGCTCCCAGGATGAAGCCTTTACATACATCCAAGTCCCTTCATGCATGATACTTCCTTCCTGCCAGAAGCCTCCCTTGAACCTTCTGAAGCTGGAGTGAGCTTCCCTCACCATCACTGAAATACCACTTCATCAGCTCCTCACTTACATTTTTAGTGGTGCTGGGGACTGAACCCAGGGCCTTGTGCATGCGAGGCAAGCACCCTACCAACTGAGCTATGTCCCTAGCCCGCTGTCCTCACTTATCTGACTCACTGACTTCTGAGCTCCTTGAGGACAGGAGCTATTTCACTTATCACAATATATCTGGCACCCAGCACAATTCTGGGCTTTTGGTGACCCTTGATAAATAGCTGGAGGAATAAGTAAATGAGAAGTCTTTCTTAACTCCATCTTCTATGCACCCAGCATAAAGTCACAAAAACAAATGGACTGAATGGGTGATTTACAAGTTTTAGGTCAGATAATGGAGAAATATTTAAGGTTCACTGTGTGCCAAGCTTTATAGACACTGCAGGTGACATCACAGACTGTAACTCTGCACTCCTGGAGGAAGAAAACTTTTTAAAGAAATCAGGATAGCCAGGTAGGGTGGTGCACACCTGTAATCCCAGCAGTTTGGGAGGCTGAGGCAGGAGGATGTCGAGTTCAAAGTCAGCCTCAGCAAGATCAAGGTGCTAAGCAATTTAGTGAGACCTCATCTCTAATAAAATACAAAAAAGGGCTGGGAATGTGGTTCAGTGGTTGAGTGTACCGAGTTCAATCTCTGGTATCTCCCCACACCTAAAAA